AGGAGGGGATGCTTGCTAAGGTGACTGGTATTGAGATGTGTCATATGCAGAATGCCAGGGTTAGAGGTAGAAGTTTTTTCATAGGTCTATTAGTTGGTCGTAGCGGAATTAATCACATGCAGACCGTGGAATCCTGTTGCTATGAAGAATGTGGAGCTGTAAATGCCGTCGGAGATTGTGAAAGAGGTTTCTAGGTATTCGGATGCTTGGAGAAGTGTAAAGTCCTAATAAAATGGTGATTAATAGTGGCACTTCTATCTTGGGGGTAATCAACAACTACCTAATTGGATTTAAAACAGTGACTGAATTGCCCAAGTCTATGTATAGGGCATATCTAAGATGCAACCTCTACACCTAAGGCTCAGGGAACATAGAACAAGGGATGAAGAGAACACTAATGCATCTTTCAGTTCTCATCAATGATGCTCCCTCATACAATTGAGGGCCAGGAAAGCAAAAGGTCACAAATGGCCAAAATGCAGAGATAAGAGGCTGCAGAGTGTGGGTCCTTGGACAGGACTCCTATATCAAAATCTACCCACCCAGGGCTCAGGGACCATTGGGGAAGAGGGGGCAGAAAGACGGTTAAGAGCCAGGGAGGAGGTGCATGACCATATGGAACTAGTCCTACAGGCTCCTGGGACTCTTCTCATAAGAACTTACAGCAATGGTGTCAGCATGCACAAGACCCATGCAAACTTAAGCAGACAAAAACCTAGCATAGAACTGTGGAAATGAGCAGCAGGCCCCAATCTCAGCCAAAGAATTATTGACAGCTGATTAAGAAGACCTGATCTTCTTAAAGGTAGGGACTCTAGAGAGGCTGACTAGATCCCAGTGGATGAATTTGCAGAGGGACATCTGGGGACACTAACTTTACATGATAGGCCTTAACACAAATGACAGAATGTATGAATGGGGGGGGTATAAGAGGATGCCAAAGGGAAGGAGGTATAAAGATTATATTCTGTATGAAACACACAAAAATTCAATAAAAAATTAAAAATATATATACATATATATATATGTATATATATAAATAGAACTTCCAGAACAAGAACAAGGTGCTACTTAAAAGGCTCAAAAAGCCCTTATCTGTGGTAACTGTGGGAGAGAAAACAAAGGGAGGTCTCAATGTGGTCAATTCTAAGACAGCAAGGGTACCTGACACTGAAAGCAATCATTCCAGAGTGATTTCTGGAGAATGAATAACAAATAATTCTGAGATAGCAACAAAAACTACAAAACAAATTGAACAAATAAGGTAATTATCAACTCTAATAAGACAAAGCATTTTTAAAAAATTATCAGTATATACTATAGAAGACAATTTACCTAACATATACTGAATATGAGTATTTCCTTTTTTTTTTTGTCTTTTTGAGAGAGGTCTCTCTATAGCACCAGCTGGCCTGGAATTCACTATGTAGAACTCACAGAGATCTGCCTGCCTCTGCCTCCTGAGTGCTGGGATTAAAGGTGCGCACCACCACGACTGGCTTGAATATGAATTATTCACTATTTTATTTTACTTTGAAGTTTCAGACAGGGTCTCCCTGTAGCCCTGGCTGGCCCGTAGAAGAGGCTAGCCTCAATATCTTAGAGATCCACCTAGATCTGCTTCCTTTGTGCTGGGTGGGATTAAAGGCATGAGCCACCACATTCAGCCCCTAAAAATGAAATTTTTAAATATATTTTTTTAGTATTTTAAAATTATGTATGTGTATCTCTGTGTGGGTATTGTGCCCATGGAGTCTAGTAGAGGAGCTACTGGAGCTATAGTTAAAAGTGGATGTGAGCTGCGGGGCAAGGGTGCTGGGAACTGAACTCCGGTCCTATGTAAGAGTAGTACACGCCCTCAACCACTGAGCCATCTCTGCAGCTTCCCCAAGTATGAACTTTAAAAACAATTTGTTGTTTGGAGACATTCTCACATAGATTAGGCTGGCTTCAAACTGTTCGTATGTAGTTCACTGAACTCCTGATCCTCCTGACTCCACATCCCCAAGCACTAGTGTTAGAAGTATGGGCTGACTCAAACCGTATAATTAAATGACAGTAGAAGTCTCCACTGTAGGGCCAGATTGGTGAAGGAAAGAAGTATGAAAAAGCAAGGTCTTCCACTTTCTACAATATATATTATCTATAATTCAAAAGAAAAAGGGAGGGTAAGCAGAGGAGGCAATATGGTAAAGTACTTGGCACTCAGGTGTCAGGCTTATTAAGAATTAAAATCCAAGCCAGGCATGGTGGCACATGCCTTTAATTCTAGCACTTGCGAAGCAGAGGCAGGCCAATCTTTGTGAGTTCTAGGCCAGCTGGGACTACGAGGAGACCCTCTCTCAAAAAGACAAAAAGAATTTTAAATCTAATCTACACTGTAACTTCCTTCATCTGTGATTGGATGAGTTAGATAGCTAACTGTCCTGAGTTTCTCATCTCTACAATGAAATTGCTCTGAGAAGTGACTGAAATTCAAAGTGTACTTGGCAGAGGGTAAGTGCTTAAATAAATGCTATAATTAAGAGCTTGCTATGTTAAAAGCTCGCTACTTGGAAATGTGGAAGTAAATAGAGAAATGACTAAAAGTTAAAAGTAGGGAACGGGAATGAGGGAGGGGTAGATGGGATGAGATAGGGTCTAACATTTTCTTTATTATCTAAGCAGAGGTATTGTTCAACGGAAGCCATTGTGTAACTTTAAATGTTCTTACCTTTAAAAAATTAAAAAGAAACAAGTAAATTAATTTTAATAATGTTTTATTTAATTCTAATGTATCCAAAATATTATCATTTAAAACATTAATTATAAACAAATCGAGGTTTTAAACATTCTTTTGTTTTGTAGTAAGTGCTTGAAATCCAACACGTACTTGTACATTTACAGCATATTGCAAGTCAGACAAGCCACATCGTAAGTGCTCAATACCCAACAAGTGGCTAGTGGCTATGATACTGGACAGTGTAGCCTATGATAGAACTGATTTTTAAAAACAATAGTTATCATAACTGGTTGATAAATCACAAGAGACACTTTATCTTCCTAATGGAAGAGACTACCACATTACGCAGTAGTCTATCCAAAGGAAAAAAAGGAATCTGAATGTGATCAGCCTTTATAATAAATTATCAATTTACAGAAATATAAAGGAGAAAAGAACACACTAAGGATACCAACAGCACATTTCAGGTTTTGGGAAAGCCTTTAATAGATAAGCAAACAAAAAAGGGGGGATTTATTTATTTATTTTGTCTTTTTTTGAGACAGGGTCTCCCTGTAGCCCCAGCTGGCGTGGAGCTCACTATGTAGACCAGGCTGGTCTTGAACTCACAGAGATCTGCCTGCCTCCGCCTCCCAAGTGCTGGGATCAAAGGTGTGCACCACCAAACCCAGCAAAAAGAGGGGGGTGGATTTTAAAAATAAGATGGAGGAAAAATCCATGAACTTAAAAAATACAAAGAATTTATTTATGAATTGAATATGTAATCCATATTTAAATTTACACTAAAATTAATAATGTTTTGCAACTTTCTGGGAATTGAAAACTTGGAGTATTTGATAATTAAAAAATTATTTTCATTAATGTTTAGGCAAAATACCTTTATAGTTTTTTTAAGGAGCCATTATCTCTTAGGAGTACATACTGAAATATTTATGGATGAAATGACATGTCTAGTATTTGTTTCAAAATAATATGGAAGTTGGAGACAGTGGCAGAGGAGTTTAAGTAAGATGAAATTGACTATGAATCAATAATTGCTGAAGCTGGGCAACGGACACATGAGGTTCATTACACTGCTTTACCTGCTTTTGTATACTTTGGGTTTTCTACAATACAACATTACAAAGAAAACTATGAAGCAAAACACATTAAATTTAAAAAATAAAATGAAAAAGAACTTGAAGGTAATATTTACAGTTAATGATTGTGATAATCACTCTACACATACAAGCTAAGCGCGTATTAATTCCTTCACACCTGAGAGTTTATTTTCTTACTTCTTATCCTACCATAACTTAGGAGACCCACACTGGTCATTGGTCCTGATTTTAGAATCTCCTTTCCAGCACATCTGATACTCTATAAGAAAGCAGGACTCACCTTAAAATCTATTCATAAACTATGGAATGACCCCTTCACACTTAAGATCCTCAGAAAACAACATAAAGCAAATTTAAAAAGATTAATTCAAGACACTAGTCAATGCAGCTGAAGAACTTAACTTTTATTCTTCCAATTTTAACTAGGAAGTCACCACTTTGTAATTTATTTTCTCACGATTTATAAAAAATGAGTTTAGTCCTTAAACTACACATTAATATCCCATGACTCCCAAGTTTTATTGAAGAAAATGATTTTTTTTACTGAAGAAAATTATTCATTAAGTTCCACAGACAGCACAGTCCCATCAATGTAACATTTAGTCTTAAGTCTATACTCATGAGGATTAAGTATAGCCAGTATCACCCTGGCCTGAAACCTGACTGTGTTGCCTCAGGATACCTGCTGTAAATTTTTCAGCTCACACTAAGACACAAAATTAAAATGGGGTGTATATAGCTCATTAAAAAGTTTTCATGATTAAAGAATAACATTAAAATTTTACCAAACTTCAACCTTATGGTTTAACCAAATTAAACTTTTGAAATGTCTATTAACTGCAAATAAATTGCAAATCACGTTTTTCCCCCTTAGGTTTCCCAGCACTTAAAACAGTTACTGAATCAATATAATCTTTAAAATGTCAAAGTATTCTATACATATTGCACTTTTCTGATAGGTTGGGCTAGTACTTTTTATGATACCAAAACTACTGAATAAAATATTTTAAAATCAATAGGTACTTGATTAATCTCCCTGAAATTACACCATTACCCAAATCTTCCAGAATTGTGTAAGACTGAATTTCTTAAATACAGTTTTAAAATTCAACTTACGGAACTGGGTTAAGAGGTAGGAACCACTGTACTGATCTGTTTGCCCTTTTTTTGGTCCCTCAGTGTTCAAATAGAATTTTAAACAAACGATGTTTTATGTTTCCTACCTTAATAAAAAGCTAAACACTTCTATTATCCAAATCAAGAACTAATATTACTGCATTGGTACGTGTGTGTGTGTGTGTGTGTGTGTGCGTGTACATATATATACACACTGTATATATCCACATATATCATATTCACATATATATATATATATGTGAAAAAAGATTGCTTTATTTTGAAATATGTGTATATATGTATAGGTCCCCTGAGAACCTTCTAAACTTTTATAATTGAGAATCAATTATGTACTAGATTCAAATTAGGTAAAGAAAACTTATTTTTCAAAAATAAAATCAATTCCCAATATGCTTGACAGAAACAAGCTATTCATTTTCACTTGTGTTCCACTGAAGACATTACTGATATCTGTCCAATGGTTTATTTCCAAGTGGTCCACTACGAAATTCTTCAGAATGTTTTAAGATTGGCTGTAGCTAGAGTTCTGACTTCCATTTGGACCCTGCTCTCCTTCACTGTTCAAATGGGGAAGAAAGAGATTTTTATACCAATTAAAAGATACATTTTCAACACCCTGATAATATTACTACTAACTTCTGAAGTTCATTATTCCATGGTACAACTCTACAAAACAAAGACATCCTGATTGTAAGACACAAATGGAGAAAAAATTAAATCCAGAAAACTAACATTTGGTTTTATGTTTTTATTCTTCTGTAATTGTACTCTCACACATAACAAGCAGTCTGGAAGTTAGTGTCCATATACATTCATAATGTTTAAATTAGAGTTTGGGATTTCACTATTATTACAGGTATCACTCAACATAGAGATTACAACTTGTGAACAAATTTTCTACAAAATTAAATCTTACATATAAAACTCTATTTCTACTCTTTAGGAAAAATCAAGTGTTCTTTAAAAAAGAAAAAAAAGCCTGTTGTCCAATGTCATCATAAAAATCATATGTAATTACAGCAAACCTTTATAAGTCAAAAAATATGATAATTTCCTGGAAAATGATGAATATTTAAAATAAAAATAACTAAAGCTGAAAATACCAGTAACTGTGACAACAGAAGTATTGCCTTATCTTGTCCACCATCATCTTGCAGCTTCAGGCCCTGCCACTAGTGGAGAATCACTCAGGGAACTTCTGTAAAAAATGCATCCAAAGGTAGCTGTTTGAATTACTGCCTTAAGCAGCTCCTAGTATAAGTCAAGCATCACTTTCTCTCAAATTGTAACATTATTGTAATCAGTAGCAATTTATAAATCCATCTTAATGTTATATAAGTTAATTAAATTTCTAAATAAACAACTAAGATAAGTAGCATTTATTTTCATTCTCACCTTTTTCCTTTCTCTGAATGACCTGATACATAGTGAGGGCAGAGAACCACTCAATTAAATGAAGATTCATTTAAAACAGCAACAAAAACTTCTTAGCACAGGATGTTCATCTTCAGCAAAATGATATGTAAGTATGTGCTATGAACTACAAGATCACTTAGATGTCAAACTTTAATCTTTACTATATCAGATTACTCATCAAATTTTTTGAAAACAATTTCTGAAATTTCTAATAGGAGAATAACCAGTTATGTGGGCAGGGCAATAGCATAGAGTCAAAGTGACAAACTTACTACCAAGGTCTTTATCTCTGACTTTCAGATGAGCCTGCCTAGTTCGGTTCTGTTTATGTACAGTATAAGGCTATATGTTGAGGGATACCTGTAATAGACCTCCATTGCATTAGGAAAAGTTACTAGATAGAAGAATTTATCTTAGAACTAAGACATTCTCAATCTATCAAATCACAAATTAAAAAAACGAAAGCAACATGAGTCAAGTTTTGGTCTAAGTTTTAAGAAAAAGATAAACATAACAATCTAAGAAAGAATATGACAAACAAGTATCGCACAATTAAATGAAATAAGTTTGAAAAGTACCTGTTTGGAGGAGGTTTTGGTTTTGGCATCTTACTAAGAATAGTTGCCATCTCTTTTCTCTCATCAAAATTCTTCCACTGCTCATATAGTTTTAAAATAACCCTGATTATTTCCAAAATCTAGAAGAAAATATTTGAAAAGTTCTCAGTAGCAAAAATAAGTGTATGTGTATAATCCCAGCACTCAGGATGCTGAAGTCAGATCATGAGCTGGAGGCCAGCACAGGCCACATAACAAGACACTGCTTTTATAAAACCTGGCAGTACAATTTGCCGTCAAAAGATAAATATAGGGTCAGGCATGGTGGCCTTTAATCCCAGCATGTGGGAGGCAGACACAGGTGAATCTCTGTAAGAGAGGCCAGTCTGGTCTACACAGCAAGTTCCAGGCTAGCTGGGTCTATAAGGAGACCCTGTCTCAAACCAAAAAAATACCCACAGAAAACAACCAAACAAACAACAAAAAAATATAATTTAATTAGCGCTAGACATGCTCCACCACACCCTGCTTAAAATTCCAATTTTAAGGACTACCTTCTCCATATCCACAGAAAGCTCTGCAAACCATTGTCTGGCATCTTTCTGCTGTACAACACAAGCTACATGTAGGCAAGCTAGAAAGAAAATCAGAGAAAACTGTTCAAATTTAACTGCAAACATAGTCTTAAAACCAAAGACTTTTATGTGACCCTTATTTTCAATACCATTTTTAAAATTATATAGCTACATTTAAATAGTTACCATTCATCAATTTAGTGACACGGAAAAAATTACTAGCACATGAGGGCTCTTGACTACTGCTCTTCACTGTGTACTACTCATAGTACAGATGGTGTGAGGGCATATTTATTACAAAGGCAACAACTCTAATGAAGAGGTCAGAACAGGAAAAACACCTATTAATAGCAGTATAATCAAATCATAACAAAAATTCAATGTGACAAAATTAAAGCCCTAGGTAACCAATGAACTGGTAATTCTTAATGTTGACTGTATTAATACTTCAATTAAAAGTTATATCAGGATTGAGCACACTGATGTAGAATCCAGTGTTGTAATCAAATAGAGGTTTAAAATATGTAATGCCTGGTACACAATATAGTTATACATATTACACAAAATCTAACCTAACAAAGATACGGAAAGAGCCCCAAGACAACTACATCACAGTTTTCTCTAAAAGAGGTCTTACTATATACACCCTGACTACCTTATCCCACTCCTCAAGAGTTATAATCACAGGTCTAGATCATACACAATGCTGGATATTGTGTTGGATGGCATTCTAGGCAGGCAATAAGTCAAAGGATTAAAGATGTAACTGGTAGAGTGCACCCCTATTATGCCCAGAGTTCTATCACCCATACCAAAACAAACAACAGCCACTAAAATGTGAATTGACCTACTGGTTTCTCAAGTCCAAAGAAGCTAGAGTAGGTCTTGCATCAAGTGGACTGAGAGGCCAAAAGAAAATGCCCTAATGGGGACATAGAATAAATCAGAGACAGAGAAGGTGTCCTAAATAATACTGAGATGATTTAGATAAGAGAGATGGTATCAGTAAAGAAATAGTATCAAAGCATTGCCTTTAAAACGGTGAAGAGGAAAGCCGGGCATGGTGGTGCATGCCTGTAGTCCCAGCTGGGGCTACAGGGAGACCCTGTCTCAAAAAAAAAAAAAAGGTAAAGAGGACAGAATGGCATATATTTAAAAGACAGAAAGAGGCTGTAAGTTTTATCTACCAGTTGAGAGGAACACAGAGAGATTAAATTGGGAGACATAATCTGCATTTTAATAAAGCTCATTTTTACTTAGGGTTTATCAATTTAGACAAGTTTTTAAGACTGCCTTGTGTACGACATCATTGCCAAATGTTCCCCTAGGGGAATTACCCTCATTGAAAGCCACAAAAGCCCAGCTCAATAGTATGAAGGACAGAACTGCTCCTTTATAAGCACAGGGATGGAGATCCATCAGCTAGTTAAAGAGTGTTGTAGAAAACTAGATGGAAATGAGAGGTTGCACAGATTACAGAAGGGACAGAAGACTGACAGGAAGGCCCAAACGGCACTGGTAATCAACTACACATAGCTGAGTGCAATGAAAAAAACATAACTGCTGGGTTTCCAACGAAGGTTACTACCTAGTGCTAGCCACCATAACAATGACATTAAAAGTGGTTATAAACTTGGGGTCAAAGTTAATGAGCTCAGTTCTGGTTCAGTGTCTGAACTGTTTGTGAAATGCCAAGTGGAACTATGCAAAAGGTTGATGAACAAGATAAACTGCTCAAGGACAAGATTGTTGCTAAAGAAAATTTAGTGGCTGGGGAGACAGCTTAGTTGGTAAAGTGCTTGCCATGCATTCAAGCTTGAGGACCCTAGGTCAATACTAAGCACCCGCATAAAACATGTAATCCTAGGGAAGACTGAGACAGAAGGATCTCTAGGCCTGACTAGCCAGTCAGCCTAGTCTAAAATAAGTGAGCTCCAGGTCCCCAGTGAGATGTCCTGTCTCAACAAAAAAGGTAGATGGCTCCTGCGGAATGACACTTGAGACTGATCTCTGACCTCTACGGGCACACACATGTATGTGTGCCTGCAAATATATGTGTACCCATATTACACAAACACACATATACCCACACATCACACACATTTTTTCTCTCTCTCTCTTTAATGTTTCAACACAAGAGATTACAGAAGCCTGAGTCTCAGTAAGAATACCCAGGAGGAAAAAAGACCTCACAGACAGCAAAGATGGCAAAATCATGCCATATATCCTGCTATTTCTTCCCTCCTATCTATACAGAGCTCAGCATTTTTTTTATCTCACTGAATGCAGATGCCACTTACTATCCCACCAAGCCCAGCGCTTTACAAGAGTCACCAGCACTACAGAAGTGTTAAGTACAGTCTATTCATCACTTTTGGTATAAGAAGGCTGAAAAACAGCAACATTAAGAAATAACTGGTAGGGGTACAAACCTTTAACCCCAGCACTCAGGAGGCAGAGGCAAGAGGATCACTGTGAGATTGGGGCCAGCCTGGTCTACAATAGAGCACTCTAGGCCTGCTAGGGCTACAGAGACACCATCTCAAAAAAAAAAAAAAAAAAAAAAAAAAAAAAAAAAACTAAAAAAAAAAAAAAAGAAAAACCAAAAAAAAAGTCTAGGTTGTTTTAAAAAATGGGAGGGGGAGTAGAAAGGGAAGAAGACATGGAACGGGAACGAGGAGG